TGGGATAAGTACTCTGCTGTGCTGTTGTCCATTGAAAATTTAGATAACTAAAGTCTCCTTTGCACTGTGCTTTGACTTCATGTGCTAGTGAACACATAATTGTGATCTTTATAGAAGATATGCTCCTACCAGTTTTCGATATGCTCTATAGTGGTTCACTTGATTTAAGAAGGCTTGTGGTGTCAATCCTTTCTTGTTCCGGGGGGGGGGGATATTATGAGCTTTGTGCTTCTCTAGATGTTCAATGGTCAATGAAATTGCTTTCTGTAGAGAAATTGGACCAAAATTAAGAACAGGAGATACAAAGGTGTGGACTTTTCTAGATTTATATTTATCTTTTTCCTGGATAATGCATTGCCAAATGGTGAAGCTATTACTGTTTGTTCCAGGTGAGTTCTTTAGGATCCTAATATATACTTTTCCTGTGTAGAAGTATATTTGCTGGAGTGTTGTTTAAAATTATGAAGAAATTTTAATGCTTTCTGGGAATCAGGTTTTATGGAATGACTTAGTGCTGAGGCTTATTGTGGTCCTGCTTGTAGTATTAAGTACCTATATCAGTAAAAGCCAAGCCTTGGTCCCAGAATTAAAACAAGAGTCTCTAAGTATAGTAAATTTCTTTCTTACTTTAAATCATCCCTTTTGATATGAGATCTTGCCAGCTGCCAAGAATACGTCCATATTTTCTCTCAACCACTATTGTCTTCATTACTTCTTATATTTCCTCCAGTTACAAATGTTCTTGCAAAATTGCGGTTATTGAAGAGGGAAAAAGTAGTTTTGTAGCACGATATCTGTCATCTGCGTTTGCTGCTGTTTTCTGGAGAAGAATTATAAATGTTGAGAAAATTGACTGACTCAAGATCATTAAAATCGTTATCTATAGATAGAGGAAGAATTTAAATTGGAGAAAGAGAGATAGATGACTGTGATGCCTAATGGCAGTAAGATAGCAATGATGTCATTGATTCATTGAAGTTGAAATTGGAGATTGCTGCCTTGCTGGTATGTTTAGTGGATTATATAAGCTGCAATTTACAACAAAACATTCCTGTAGCGTATATATCTCTTGTGTCTGAGCATTTTTGAAAGGGCCTTGATTACTGTGGTTATAGAAAGGGGGAGGGGGGGGGGTCTCGTGAGCATTTTTGAGAGGGCCTTGATTACTGTGGTTTAAGAGAGAGGAGAGGGGGGAGAACCTAACCCACTTAAGTTGGAAACATTTTTTTAAAAATATTGCTTGGTTTATGGGAGCATAGGCATTCCAATTCACTTCGCTGTTTGAGATAGGTTATGGGAAAGGAATTTCCTATCTACTTTTGTATTATTAGCCCAAAAATGTACCTCTAGCACATACCTATTTGATTTTTCCCAGTCACAGGTTGCGGGGGCCCCACGGGGATTAGTGTATAATGCTGCTCCAACAGTATTGAGGCAAAATCAGCTGTCTTCAGTCTATTTTGGAGATCAACATAACTTGATTTACTAGTTGTGAACCTGTCCAAAGGAACATTAGATGGGTATTGGATGGTTTGTTATACAAGTATAATATTGTGATTCACTTGATATCTTCTTTCCAGTTTCTGTTTTTGTCAACCATATTCTGAGACAGTCCAGTACTTGAGATTTTTGGAGTTCTAATATGTTAATAATATTTTTGTCTTTGTGGGTTCTCTTGGAGCATGGGTCACTCATTTATCATTACTTATGAACATGCTATTAACTATAGAGTGATAAACATTATTGCTTGATAGTAAAAGTAACTGAAACAACCACACATTTTTGTTTTAGCTGTAGGGATTTATAGTGTTACTATGTTAGTATTGGTGCTATTCCATTCCTTAAAAGGTTTATAAGTTTTTCAAGGATATTGACCATAGAATGATTGATTGGATATTATGTGTTTTGCTGTAGAGGTGGAGATTATAAATATGTGATGTTATTGCCATAATTTTCTTTCTAAAGTAAGGCGAAGCTCTGATGTTTGACTTAACAGAAATGTGCTGAATAATTTGGTTTTTGTGATAGCCCTAAGAAGTGTAAGAACAAAAATTCTGAAACACTGTGATGCTGCAAATTAAGATGGATGCAGTCCTTTATTTTCTGTCTGTGAGCTTGATATATCTGCTTCCTTCAGCTTAGTGCTTCTAATTTCTTATGTTTTGTCAATTCTGCAGGAAGTTCTAAGAATTAAGTGGGAACATCCAGATGATAAACACTGCATTGTCAATGATAGAGTAAAAGGCCGTCTCAAGGTTACTCGAGCGTTTGGAGCTGGATTCCTCAAACAGGTTTGTCACTTGTACTATATTACAGTCAACTCTTACCCTTGGAATCTAGATGGAAACAATGTATAAGCTTCATTGCGCAAAATAGGTCTCTTACAATCTTACCTATAAAAAATCTGTTGAGAGTTGGAGGCCTTTATCCTCGCTGACATTTCAGTGGAATGCTACTTCCTTGTGTCTGGTATTGCTTTTGTAAAGAAACATGCAATCATTGACTTGCATCTACAAACTGTGTTTTTTAGTAATCAATTTAGGGTCTAGTCACATGTGCAGTTCTTTTTGAAAGAATTCTGGTTTACTTGTCAGCCTCTTTGGTTTCTTAATAGATGATGAGCTCAACTGAGCTTTAAATACTTGCACGTTTTTGATAAGCTTTTCATTTGGGCTTGATTCTATATGATAAAGTACATGTTGCATAGTCTTATGCTATTAGACATTTAAACAATCTTATCATTCTGGTAAGAGTGGTTTTATGTTTTTTTTGCTCTCTTGTTTAGTGTGCTGCAGTAATATTCTGCAGTGAAGATGCTATAACAAATGAATTTTATGAAAATTATGATTTCTAGCTATTTGGGGTGGGGTTTGTGGGCTGAGAGAGATTACACAGTCTTAAATCCTTAGTTAAGGGGTTGATGGTACAGGAAAAATAATTAGGTGTTCATTTTTCTCTCACCTCCTTCTTCTCACCTTTGTGGCAAGACTTTTGAGCAACTATAGTGTGTCTGTAAGTATATTTCTATGCCTCTGGAAGCGTAATTCCAGGGTATACATGCCTTCCCTAGTTTTACAGAGACAGAAATATATAGAGTATTTTTTAAGCCTTCACATGCCTTCTGGATACCAAACACAGGAGAAATAAAATATATAAATTGAACCATATACAGCAATTCGCAAATAATTGAGGATTTTATTCTGATTGACCTGTGTTTCTGTTGCAGGCCAAGTTTAATGACTCGTTATTGGAGATGTTCAGAAATGAGTTCATTGGTAGTGCCCCTTATGTATCATGTATTCCTTCTCTTTGCCATCACAAACTTGGACGAAGAGACCAGTTTTTGGTGCTCTCATCTGATGGGCTATACCAGTATTTCAGCAATCAGGATGTGGTTTCTTTTGTTGAGAATTTCTTGGAGAAATTTCCTGATGGAGATCCAGCACAACATCTAATAGAGGAGCTTCTAAACCGAGCCGCTAAAAAAGCAGGTAATTTCTACCTATCTTTGTCATCATCTAGTTTTTTTCTCTAGGCAAACTTCGTTTGCAATAGTCCAGTGCCTTGATTCTGGAGCTTCAAATACGTTATGGAGCACAGACTTAGATTCTTTGGTCACTGCATAAGAACAAGAAAATATATTTTGTAGGCTAGAGGCGAGCAATTAGCTCTGTTTTGGAACTTTGTCCAAAGCAACATTTCTTCAATCTTGCTGCTATGTTTTGTCTTTGTGCTTGAATATTACCTCCACGATTTTATTTTTCTCTACATAAAGCTCTTGCTTACTTTTTTCTACCGGAATGGGGATTGTTCTGTTAAATGTCCGAGTGGTGCATAAATTGTGCAAAGCTAATTTTAAGTCGATGGATCATTTTTGCTTATAAAATGTTGCACCTACTAGTTAGTGGTTACTTTTGCATCTTAATATTCAGAGCTTGATTAATTTGTTTATTTGATGCATACAGGTATGGATTTTCATGACTTGTTGGATATTCCCCAAGGTGATCGCCGAAAGTACCATGATGATGTCACTGTTATGGTGGTATCTCTTGAAGGGAGAATTTGGAAGTCTTCAGGAAAATATCCCTAAAAAACATGTTCATATGAAAACTAAAAAAATTAAGGCTCTATCTGGAATTGCCAAAGCTGACATGGTTTCAATCAGAACCACCGGATAGACATTGATCTTAACAGCTGGGCAGTCGTCTTGATATGGTAACAGACCCAGTTCTCCTGGGTCTCAAAATTAGTCCTAGAGGTTGATAGGCACACTGTCTTAGTTAGGGGAGGAAACAATTGAAGAGACTGTAAGAAAAGTACCCCAGTTAAGAAGGTGCTGCCATAGTCGAGGACGGAGAAAGCTTGGGAACATATGGGTTGGGATTTTTTTAGATGAAAGGGTGTTTTACTCTTTCTATTCTTCTTTTCTCCATTGGGGATTTTGCGTAGGTAGATTAGGTAGTGGCTCCTCAATTCATTTTTTGTTTGTTTGTTTTTTTTTTCCTTTGTTTTTGTTTTTATTTATTTTTTTTTTTTTTTTCAGAGCCGAAAAAAGGGGGTATAAGGGTTAAAAAAAAAAAGAAAAAGGAGTAGCAAAATTTGGTGGGGGGTAAAAAGGTTACAGAATCTGTAATTTCAGGTGGAATTTCCATCAATGCAGTTGACAGCCGAAATTTATACATGGATCTCGGTTTAGGGCGTACTTTTGTTCATGCTTAGTTGCCTAATGCATTTTTGACCAGCCATTTTCGGGTTAAAGATGATGCGCCATAGAATAAATCCTTCCAAATGATGCGACTACAATTTAACAAAAAATATTAGCTCTATTATGTGAGTATAGAGAATACTAAAAAATTTTAACCATGAAAATTGAAAATACTACTCAAATCTACTGTACAAAATAATAGTGGCATAGGGTACCAATGAAACAAAACACATAATTCTGTTTATACCTCGTCACAATCGTGGACAGTTCTCAAGTAACATTGCCTTCAGCTGCATCAAAGTAGTGAATCTGCTTTCGCAGGCAATCTGCGAAAGAAGTTCACAGGCACTGATGGCTGCTTGCTCCTCAATTTCAAAGGCCTCAAAACGTAAACTATAAACAAGATAAATAACAATCGCACTGGAATGAAAATAAGAACAATCCCAGAAATCATACAGAAGCCCACAAACAAGGCAGTAGCTCTAGGATCCCTCCAGCTGAAAAGAGATAGTACTCTCTCTAGTTGAGTTGCTATGTCTCCAAGTAGTACCTGCAATTGCCCTGCAAATATTCTTAGTCTGTTATACCGATACTTTAGTGAATCATTGTTCTTGCAAGTCGTTGGAATTCCATCAAATTCCTCGTCCAAGTCCTCTTTACTAAGTCTGTGAACACTGGACAATTGAGGATCCATGTGTGGAGGGTTTCTAGGACGGGACTGATACTTCATCATCCCAATCACACCAAAGTTGAAGCATATGGCAGGAAATATAAGTTGTGGGTAGAATACCAGGAAGATTAAAAGCAAATGCACCAAGACTGATAGGAAAGGTCTTTTCCAGCTGCTTACACTTTCCACATACTCGAATACATATCCTAGACTAAAAAGTGCAGCTTTAATCCTTTGACAGTTAGCTGCTGTTTTTCGCTGGCTCCAGTTACGTGAATCATAATCAAGCATATCCTCGACGATTTCTTTCCTTAATGGTGGCTCTGAACGGCCCAACCTCAATGAAACCAACTTAGTAGCTTGGTGTCTCAGACATTCTTGCTGATATAAGGATAAAGGGTGAGTGTAATGCATTTTGGGAAGGAAAGGCTGAGCATAACCTTGTAATAAGTTTATGTAAGATGTGCAATTAAACCTAATGGCTAACTGAAGCTCCCCCATTTTCTTCAATCCTTGAGGTTCCAAGACCAAAAGTGGATATGAGTAAGTATAGATCCTATCAACTTCAAGAGTAGATAATCGGATCCTAATCTTACCAATTCTTGAGTCCCGAGATCCTTTAGCATTATCAAGACCTTGAAACTGACAGTTATCAAAAACTCCAATTGTGATTACAGTACAAGGATCATAAACCAACCAAGTGTACTGCTCGTTCCACTGAGGCGAAGAGCTATTTATGATTGTCCTTGTCCGAACCCATTTCTGCCCATATTTTGCCACACAATAAGCATCTGTTCTTCCCTGCTGCCCACTTTTCATCTTCATTTGTGGCAAACCAGTTGCATTCAGAATTCCTAATTCCAACACCCCGATTTCCTGTTTCCATAGCTGCCTCACAGTTGGCCTTGTATCACTACTATGGCGAGCAGTCTCATCAAGCACATGATATCCACCATCCAAAGAAGCCCTCAATTGTATCTTGCAGTTTTCGCCTGGTCTATCAAGACTATACCACCTTGCATCAACTGGTTTACTACCTAGCCTCCTCTCCAACTTCCCTAAATGAATCACACACTTCCCAACACCTTCCTCATTATTTTCAACCTTGGTCACCACTGTCAAAACTAATAGATGCTCAAAAGGTTCAGCAGCAACAAACATCAAATCTTCGTTCCACAATGGATTCAAAACATTCTTGCTGGTAGAAAATTTTGTCCTTGCCATTGCATCCCCAAACACAGCCTTAACAAAAACATCTGCCTTCTTATTCTTATTCGCGATCTCTAAGTTCTGAGCTTGAATTACATTCACCCTAAGATACCAAAGTTTAGGAGACATATACACCTTTGCCTTGGTATTCACAACATCCTCATAACTTACCCCTGCAGCATTCAAATTCCATGCTTCAGTAAATGCCTCATCAGCTTGAGTCCCCATCCAAACCGCCACCATCAACTCTTCCTTCACACACACCCCTCCCAAGTCCTCCAATATAAACCATTGAGGGGCTAAAGGGCTATCTGGTGGCACTCGCTGGGGGGCCTCTTTCACATCAAAGATCAATCTACCCTTCACCCCTTCTCCCTCTTTATCTTTCTTCTTCATCAAAATTTCTACGAAAAAGGTATGAATTCGTTCCTTAGAGAATGCAAACACCTGGTTCCACTCAGGGTTAGCAGTCTTTTCCACAGTTTTGGTGATTGCCCTGTAGTTTCCTATTCTCACTTCAACATATGTTTTATAAGTTTCGGTATCATTTTCAAGCTCACAAGGGTCCTTACCTTTCACTATTCTTATGTACAAGAACTCCATTGGCTCGACCAAGCTGAATGCACTAGCCATAGACTTCTTAGTCGACGGTATGTTGGGAGAAGTCTTCTTTGGAGATAATTCCTCCATTGGTGGAGGTGGATTTACTTGCTGATTGTGTTTATTGCTCATTGTTATAAGTTTAACTGCAGGACAATTTCATAAAACTCATTCATTACTAACATATGATCAACTAATTAGCAGCTAGAATTTATTTCATGCATGAAAATTAATCGAAGATCTCATCTAATTTCTCAATTAGTTCATCACTTCATGATTCTAATCAAATCCTAAATTAGTTTAGGCCCTTCACAAACAAATTAATCAACACGCGTACTACAAGTACCTTTTAATGTTTTACCTGTGTAACGAAAACATTAGCTTAGGTCACTACAGTCACGAGGGGAATGCCTAATGCATCGGATTGAATAAGAATGCTCAATTCAACATGGGAAATTCATTGGTGCAGGATAAGTATATAATATTATCAAACAATAAACAAGGGAACCCCAATGATGAAATATACCCAGAATTAATCATCGTTAATAGAGGGCTTAATCATTGTATTAAGCTTCTAATCATTGAAAAAAAAGCCTGATCAAAATTCAAAAACCCTTTAATAATAAATTGATCATCAATAATCCACTTAACCTGATTAGAAAAAAATGATCGTCAATTTAACTATGTTAATTACAATTAATTTACAAAACACTGCAATATACACAAATGCATGAATTTAAACAGCAACATCTAGAAAATTTGACAATGTAATCAAATAAATTGAACACTAATAATTGAATAAAAAAACCCAGATGAAGAGTTTGAAGGACAAACCTGTTAAATTTTAATGGAAATATGCAAATGTGCTAAGATAGGGTAGTGAAAATAATTGAGGAAGAAGTAGAAGATGCTTTTTGCAACGGCCAACGATGTTTAAATTAGGAAATATGCATAATATATGCATGTAACACTTGCGACATTAAAAACATATTATAATTGGAAATATCAATTCAATGTAAATAGGGTTTATTAGGAAGGTTGTAATGTTCAAGTGATTTTCTGAATTAGTCACATATTATTTCCTAATTAACGTTAATAATACGGAGTAGGAAATAGGGACACATATGACATTATGACTATATGAATTCTGAGTATGGAAATGGATATAGTGATATTATTAGAATTGTATGACTTTTTTTTTTTTTTTTTTTTTTTTTTTTTTTTTTTTTTTTTGCAACATATGTGAAATGTATATATAAATAAGATGAAATATATACAAAGTACTAAGTCAGATCCCGTGCCATGCACGGTAATCTACAATTATATATAGTTAAAGATTATTAATTGATAAGTATTAAAATCGTAAATTAAACGAGTAATAATAAAAGTATGTGATATGGTGATTTTTTAGTTGTAGCTTCTAATACACAATTAAAACAAAAGTAGGCAAAAATCTGAGCTATATTTTTTCTTGTTCTAATACATGTCACAATTTATTTTACGAATATGATTTTTGGTTTATAGTAGTCCAATTTTTTTTAGAAAGATTTGTAAAATCTTTTTATTTTAAATATAATAATCAATATGTATTAATATAGAATATGATAATATTATTTTGTAAATAATTTGTTTCCTTAATTAATAGATTTTTTTTTAAAAAAATAATAACTAAAGACACACTAGGAGATGACACGTGTCATTGTTAGTGTGTCTTTTAGTATATAGTTATTGATGATTGAAGTTATTGATTGATTGTTAGGTTGAGTCAAAATTTTAATAAAATCATAAGAGAGTTTTTCTCAATAATTTCACACACTAAAATACTCCGTAATAAAGGTGATTAATTATATATAAGAAAAATTGTTAAATGAAAAACATCTATTATGCAAAATGTATTACGAGTATAAAAATAAAGATGTCCCGAAAATGAGTGTCACTAAAGATAATTTGTGCCATTATAGTGTAAATGAAAATATTTTCCTCTTTAAATAGGTATTACTATAGGTTATAGTTTTATGGAAATTTTGTCAACAACTACCAATTATAGCCTCTGTTTTGAAAACAACTACCTTTTAAAATTTTTTTTTAAACAACTACCACAAAAAATTTAAAAGTTAGAGTAGCACTACCACATTAGTATTTCCGGCTAGAATCTTCGGTGATAGGGGCCCACTTTTCACCTATATAAACAGTTATATAGAGAAGAGAGAGAAACTCATATTGGAGGGAACGGTGAAAAGTTATATAGAGAGAAACAACAAAGCCCTAAGAATTAAATATTTGACATATTTATATGTAGAAAGTGTTTAAAAAAAAAGGTAATAAAAAATAAAAGTGAGGTAGGTAAAGTGAGTCTTAATCTCAAGTCTTAAGTTGAGTCTTGGAATTTCAAGACTCAACTTAAGACTCAACTTGAGACTTGTTTGAGATTTTTGAAGAAAAATGGGAATAGTTTTAAGCACATTTCTTAAGATTCAAATTGATGATGTCACCCCAAGTTTTAAGACTTGGATCTAAACTTGCTCTTAGTACAATAAACTCCATAGTTACTCCGTATAAGTGTGATATGCAAATACTCCGTATCGAATATGCCAAAATAAAACCCAAAAAACAAATCATACAATTAACTCCCAAGTATATCAAGTACCCCAAAGGATAAAATGATAATTCTACAAATACCCCTTGATATCCACCAAGTTTAGCAATTGACAAAACCTAAATTGGTAATTTGAAAATGCGCAAATAAATGCTTGCTTCTTTTGAGGAGGAAAGAAAAAACAAGGGTTTATATTTTATAGTAGACCATTTTTCTGGATGAGCAATTTACCAAAAGACTGAATTTTTATCGGGCTTTGTAATAACGCTAAAAAACCATTGTTAGATAGATAGTTTAGAGAGAGAAAAATCCCCCTTTTTCTGTGTCTTTGCTCTCTTTCAACAGGTACGCCACTCTTCTTCTTAACACCCCTTTATTTTTGCATATAAAAATCAATCAAGATTATATTTTATTTGTTTGTTGGTCTGTATATTTTAATTTCTTGTTTTTGGGCTTAATTTTATGATTATGGGGTTTTCTTGCTTTTTTAATTTATTGGGTATTTTTGATGATTTTGGGAATTGGTTTTTTTTGTTGTTGTTGTTGTTGTATGATTATTATGGTAGGTTTCTATGCAGCTGTGATTTGTTGAGGGTAACATTTTAGGCTTAAAGTTTCCTAAAATGGAAAGTGATGGAAAGATGGTAAAAACAAGTAAAACCCTAGTTCAGTTTGATCAGTCAACAACAATTATAAGCACTTCCTCAGTTGTTGAAAAGGAATCTTGTGGTTTGGATTTGACTAGTTCTTCTTTAATGGGTGCCCGTGTAACAAAAAGTCAAGCCAATGGTTCTGGGGTTTTTGGGGAAGAAAGTGTCCATGATAATAATTCGATTGATGGAGGTGCCGCTGTTGGCGGTGCCGGTGCCGGTGTTGGGGATGATGTGAGTGTTGCCAATGAATCGTTGACGACGGATGTTTCTAGGGTCGGGATGATTGTGGATGGGGAGAATGGTGCTGATGGTTGTGTGATAGATAAGGGGATTACAGAATGCAAAATTGATGAAAAGGTGGATGGGAGTGTGATACGGGATGTTGCGTCCGGTGTTTCGAAGGAAGTGTGTGGGAAGGGTTTTGGGGCGAAGTTTCAGTATGGGAGAAGCAGTTCTGAGAGGAAACCTTTAGGTGATGTATCGAGTAGCATTGCGCAGAGGACAAGGAACAGGGCTGTGACTGGTAAAAAGGAGGACATTGGTGTTGTGGATGATGGGCAAAAGGGGAGCGGGGTTGGTGATGAGGATGATGAAGAAAATGTTTTTCGTGTGGGGGATTTTGTTTGGGGAAAGGTTAAGAGTCATCCTTGGTGGCCTGGGAGGATTTATGATCCTTCTAATGCATCTGAGTTTGCGTTGAAATACAAGCACGAGGGGCGGATTCTGGTTGCGTATTTTGGGGATAGGACTTTTGCTTGGTGTGATCCTTCTCAGTTGAAATCGTTTGAGGAGAATTTTGAAGAGATGTCAAAGCAAAGCAGCTTGAAGACCTTTGTTACTGCTGTGGAGGAAGCTCAGAATGAATTTGGTAGACTTGTAAAGCTGCAGATGACTTGTTCCTGTGCAAGAGAAAGCCAAAGTTCTCTGCCGTTTGTAGTGAATGCAGGTGTCAAAGAAGGGGTTCATGTTCCTGAGAACGGAATTGCCAAGTTTTCAGTTGCTCAGCTTGATATGCCAGCAATGCTTGCTGATATCAGACGTATGGCCATATTTGATTTGCTAGAAGCACTTGAGATAACAGTGTTAAAGAGTCGATTATCGGCTTATTATCTTGCTAAGTTCGGCTACTCGCTGCCGATATATTGTGATCCCATGGGAATTGAAGACCCTGTGAATGAGCAGGGTGTACCTAGGGAAACTTCATTTCGAGGTCCAGATGACGGGGACTGGTTTATAGGCTCTGAAGATCAGACGCTGGGACAAAATGACGTGCAGACGCCACCACATAGAAGAAGGAAGACGAAGAGCATTGCTGACCTGTTGGGAATGGACACAAAAGATGAGTTGGAGAGTAACATGGATGGAATAGAAGAAAATTCACAGATAGAAAAGTCGGTAGTGAAATCTGGGAAGAGGAAGAGGAAGGTTGCTGATGAGTATCAGCCATTTATGCCTGTGGCAAATGGAGATGATGGTTTTTCTAAAGATGAGGAGCATTTAGGAAAGCAGGTTTCAATATCTAGTAGGAAAAAAAGGAAGACTGTTGATGAAACACAAAATCATGTGATAGATGATTCGATGATTACTCGATCAAGCTCAAGGAAAAAGAAAGAGGATTCTGTAAAATCCCGATCAAGCTCAAGGAAAGTGAAAGAGGACTCTGTAAAATCCCGATCAAGCTCAAGGAAAACGAAAGAGGACTTTGTAAATGCCCGTTCAAGCTCAAAGAAAACGAAAGAGGATTCTGTAATTTCTCGATCAAGCTCAAGGAAAACGAAAGGGGATTCTGTAAAATCCCGATCAAGCTCAAGGAAAACGAAAGAGGACTCTGTAAAATCAACTACCTCTGAGAAGAAAGCTTCTGGTGATAGTGGTGGTGAGGT